TGTATGTAGCCTTTTTCTTTCATCAATTGTAACTACTTAGTAGTAGCTGATTCTGTTTCATTGAGTTTCTTTTCCAGTTTTATACATTAGCCAAATTTGGTTCGTCTCTTTCATTCTATCAGGATTATTAAGGATTTGCTATAATCCTTTAAAAAGTGTTTTGATTGTTGTACTTTCATCCAAATTGCGGTACTTTGACTTTTCCTTTTTTACCTGCCTCCAGTAAATTTCTCATGTATCATCAAGTAGGTTTTTTCAAGTAAGGATCAGTAATACATAAAGAGTTGTGTTTTCCAGGTGTTTAAAGGGATCATGGTAACATGTGGATAGATAGATATCTTTAGTGTATCTTGTTCTATTGCTGTAATTTATGTAAGACCCTTTAAGCTCTTCCCAGAATTAGAATTGCAGATTTTTCAGAGTGGAAGGAACCATTTGATATGAAACTTAAATCAGACAATTCATATATGCTAGAAAAAACATCTTTTTATCAGAAGAAAATAAAATAATAGAGATAATTATACTAAAGTTCTTTACATCTTCCTGGGGAATTGACTGCAAAGCAGTTTGCTCCTAACAGAAGAGCTTTTAGAAACACTCTATAATTTCACATCTTTCAGAGAAGAGATAAAATTTTATGAATATGGGTATGTTACCTGTAGCTTAGAAATTCCTACTTTCCATAACAGAGTGTCTTGTCTTACCAGGCATTGAAGAAATGGGGAATATTAAAGACAGTAGCAGAAAATAAAGAATAGAAATGAGCTAATAGATACTCATTTTAAGACTAAAATAGGTTTAGTTTTGTTCTAGAGAAAGGTCTTCTGCGTGGTTTCTTATGCTGTTTGCAAGCATAAAGTTAACCATAAGGGGGATGCAAATAATCCTGGTGCTAGCTAGAAAAAGCAGAGAATATTTTGAGAGATGTAGCTTGTGTCTTAAGTAAAAATGCTAACATCTAGTTAAACTGTATATAAGGCCCCAGGGAATTTCCTTAATGGATTTTTTTTTTTGTGGGGCTGCATGGAAGAAAGTCCATCTGTTTAAGATAATCCAAAACAAAAATAGACACCTCATGATTAATGAAAACTACAAGAAAATTTTTCCAGGGATTATGAAAACATTTTCCTCTTACAGTTAAATCCATTCTATTACGGTTAAATCCATTGTATCTGCCAGATATTATCAAAGAATGGAGGATTTATTTAAATTGCTGAAACTGGAATAAAATAGGATATACAGACTCTTATAACTGGCATAATTGAGGTTCATTATCACAGCAGAAACAAATTATTGCTTTTGGGTGTTCCGATGTCCCAGCTGTGCAGGCTGCAGCTGAGGAAGACTGCATCCAGGGATTTGGTTGAATACCAGTATGAGCTTCATTTTGCAATGATATTGAGACAGAAGTAGACATCAAGGTGTGTGGGATTTGGCTGCCTGGACATGGCCACCGAGAGCCATTGGAGTTGTATGAGGACAGCTGCAGCATCTGGCATGCACGACACAAATTTTAGAGCAGAGCAGAGTGACATCTTTTTTCAAAGGGCAGATTTGCTATCCCACAGTACCATCAGTGACACTAGAGATTGTTTCAATTATCTTCATGGCATTCAAGTGTCACTTTGGGTCCTGGGCTTACCATGAAAAGCCTCCCCAGGCCTAACCAGACCTTAGAAAGCTGACCTAGGCTTCTAGGTGAGACAGAGTAGAAAATAAATTATTAAACAAGCAACAGAGTCTGAATAAAGAATCAGGACAGCAGTCCTAACCCAGTCTCTAAAAATCTTGGTTAGCTGCCAGACAGGTACATGATGAGTTTAGTTTTTTAAGCTCAAACTCAGTAGTATGTGATAAAACTGCAGTTGAGAATTTTTAGAATAAACATGATTTTAAACTGAGGAATTAGATTTGCTATCCTATCTTGCTAGCTGTACATTTCGTAGTGATTATAACACTTGCTGATTAAGGCTAAAATAATGAGTAATATTACAGGCTTTTATGGTGCAAGGGAAGACTTCCCATTTAAGGGAGAATTCAAATAAAGGAGGAGGGCACTGAAATGAAGGTAATTGTTGAAGTCAGATTGATGATACTAAAAGAACTGAGGCAGTGCTTGTGATTAACTTAATTTTTAAATATGAAGAAATATGTAATAAACCTTACATGAAGTTTGATATAAAAGAAAAAAGGGAACAAAGTAACCAGTTCAGAAGTATAGAATTTCTCCAACTCATACAAGGACAGAAATCAGTAAAGCAAAGTAGATGGTTTGATTTTTTGATATTCTGGGTGTAAATGTAGCACTACTTTCTATTGGTATTTTAACTGCATATGTGATATATGAAAACCATTTAACAGGCTTTTTCTGGAAAGACAAGGAAAAATAAATTTTAGAATTACAACTCCATTTCATATTTTATATGAACAAAATGTGCTTGATAGCTTTGCAAAGGACATCTCCAAAGGCAGGGTTTTTTTTCTATAGGCCAGTGAATCATGAACTATTCCACAGCATTGATTCTATTACTCCCAGTGGGTGGCAGTTTTCCCATTTGTAGCAGTTCCAAACATTGTTTTTCTCTTAGTGGCAGAATAATTGCATGATGAATGTGTTTCATATTAAGTTTTGATTCAACACAGGCATTTGTGATAATTTTGGTTGCAATATACTCTTAAAAAAAAAAAATAAAAAAATCCGTCTTACAAATGGAGTAAAACTAATTGTTTTGCCTCATACTTTAAAGTTAGAATGCATTTTTTTGAAAATTAAAGTAAGGTTTCTTTGACAGTTTAGTTGGTGTTATGTCATCTTATTAAATATAACTTCCTATTCAAAATGTCTTATTACAAACTGCCTTTTAACCTTGTCTTCTGAGAAAGTGAAAATAATTTTAATTGATATAACCAGAGATTATCCATGTAAATAGAAGTAGTAGATTGGAATAGATAATGACAAGGCAACCAGTTTTAATTTTGTAGGTATTCTGGAGCTGATTCTACAGAAATTAGTCTTTGTAATTACTTAACCATGGAAGCTACACAAAAAAAAAAAAAAAAACTGGTGAGAAATACTCATTCTTCATGACCAAATTAGCCACTTCATTCTCCTTTTGTGCCAGCCTACATGTGGAGAATAACTGGAAATCTCCACCCCATGTATTCTGGAAATCACTCACATCAGCATAAGTGATATATTCATTCTTAGCTGAGTGAATGTCAATGAACCATAAGAGAGTTGTAAGGGTCTAAACCAGCTCTCATGGACTTAAGGGCCTAAGTTCCACATACCTCAGTAGTGCAGAATCAGTCAGAAAAGGAAAAAAAGGGGGGGAAAGAAAGGAAATACGACTTAGTTTTATTCATCTTTCCTTTTAGAGTTTCATCTTTGTCACTGATATAAAATTGAATGTTATGTACCAGCGATTTATTTTAACCAAGAAAGATCAACCCAGTTCAGCAGGACATTATGCTTCTTCTAGGCATGCTTATATCATGGTAAATCATTTGTTGTGTTGGATAAGTGTGTGGAGCTGTCTTCTCTGAGCCCTCCAAATTGCATAGAAATGTAACTGGAAATCTCTTGTACATTCAGGACAAGAAGGTTGCTGCCTAGTGGGATGTTTTGCAGCATATATTAAATTCTGGTTTGTATTAGAGGTACAGACATTCATAATTTGGTTTTATATTTTGCAGCTACAGAAATAAATAACTACATTATTAAATGTTATAATTATATTAAATAATTATATTGAGGACTGCCAGATTGGTTTGGAAGTTCCTATGTGCAAAAGATCTAAGAAGGTTATGGACAAAAGTTAAGAAGAGTTGTGTAACATAACATGAGTGGCAGTCTCAGTATGAGGCATTATTTTCAAGTTCTTTTAATTGCATTATTTGATCTCTTCCTTTAATGATAGACAAGTTGGATTTTTGATGGTCTGTAAAATGCTCAGGATGTAATTGTTAACTCATATGCCATTGACCAGTGAACTGTTTCTACTTGTTAGGGTCATTATTTACTAAAAGAGGGTGTAAGCTGCAGGACAATGGAACTATCTTTTGCACAGATGTAATCCATATGGAAACTATTAGGTTATGGTTGTTACATTCATGTTACTTTTTTCCCATAGAATACATTTGTTTCAGTGGTGTCTACAACAGTCATCTTGTCTTCACTGCAATGTGTTATTTTCAATATTAGATTAAAACGTAAAGTGTGTAAGCCAAATTCTTGCTGCAGATTATTTATGGTACAAGAACATTGTCTGTCCAACAAATTTGAATAGTTGAGAGAAAAAATAGTCTGAATGTAGACTTCTGCATTAAGCATATACAGAGTTCTGTTTTAACCTGAATCATGTTTGATTAAATGATCACTGTTAGAAAAATGTAAGATATACTGTAAAGCTGAATGAACAATGATGCTGAGGAAATGGCAGAGATCTTCAATTATTTATGGAGATGGAAGCTAGTACACATCAAGTAAAACTATATCTGAATCTTTGAAGTCACTGTACTCTAGATAATACAATCTGTCATGCGATGGTCCTGTTGACCAGGGCTTTTGCTTTAATTTATGTGGGAAATGTTATGGATAATGTGAAGTGGTTGCTTTCCACACTGATATGTCATTCAGGGTTCTGGGGCAAGCAAGAGCATGTGAGCCTACTGAGCAGTAGACATGGACTCCTGCAACAAAAGCAGTGGGGAACAATTCAGCATCAGTGTTTCACTCTATTCCTAGAGTAGTCTGCATGAAGCTCTCTCTCCTATGTGTTTTTGGTGCTTTGAAGGATTTTGTTATTCTTGAGGTTTCTTTGTTGTTGGTTTTTATTTTGTTTTTGTATTTTTGTTGGTTTGTTTTGTTTTGTTACATTTTGGTTTGTTTTATTTTGCTTGTTCCTGCCCATGTTTTGAACCCAAATCATTTAGGCAAATGCTAAAAATTCTGGGGAAATAATTCCATATATTTAAAATGTTTTCTTTTTTCTTCTCAGGGAATTCCTGGAATTCCTGGAAATCAAGGAGCAAAAGGACAAAAGGTACCATTAGTTGTTCAAAACACAGTTAAAACCTATATTTTATATACCCATTCCAAACTAAGGGTTCAGCCTTAGAGAAGTGTTTTCCTAGTGGGGATTTATGACATCAAATCATTCTGCAAAAGAATGGAGACAATTCATGGCATGTTTAAAAATCTCTTACTTGTTATATTTCAACTATTCCAGAAGGAATGAATAGTTTAAAAGGAACCATGTTAATTCCATAATACACTGAGAAACAATCTTAACTAACTAAATCTGCATAGTTAAAGAATATATTAAAAAATGCATTAGCCACAGAATTTTTCTCTTTATGTAAAAAATGCAGGGTGAAGTTGGACTACCAGGTCAGCCAGGAGCAAAAGGGTCACCAGGAGATACTGTAAGTTTCAAAACTGTGTAATTATGAACAAATAATTGTGGTGTTGTCATTCTCTGCTTGTCATAAACAAACATGCAGTGGCAAATACAGGAGCAAACTAGCATTTTCAGGTTGGAAAGACAAGGCTATGGCAAATGTAAGTTTTTAGCTCAGTGACATATACGCAGTGTGGAAATTCTGGCTGAAAGCTGTGAACTGTTTTTTTCTGTTACCCTTGCCATTACTTTAAGCTTCTGAATATTTTGACAAGAGGTGAGAATTTCTGTAAGTTCTTGGATTTTGATGGTTGTTAATAGATTTAATTTTTCAGTTTAGTAACTTTTCTGTCTAACAATTTATCTCTCCCATCTCTTTTTGAGGTCTTTCCCTATGAGAATTCTCATCAGTGAACTTCTTGATATGCAGTAGTCAGGCTGGATTTCATCCATTTTGATAGACAAAGGGGGTTCTGATGTCACTTCGTAGTGTTAGAAGTAGAAGTAGTACATATTTATATCTTCAACAAATACAAAATACTCAGTGGTTCTCTAAAAGGGCCTTGATGTTAATTTCTCAGTCATCAGTACTGTCACACTGTTAAGACCATCTTGGTACCTACATTTTACCTACCTTTCCTTGCATGACTGGAATAATCTTTTCAGGGACCGTTCTTTCCCACTTTCAGTGGCTGCAGGGGTCTTGTGGTGGCTTGTGCCTCACTTAGTTGGATGACAGGAACCTTGAAGGGAGAGGATGCCAATGATCTCAATGTGGATTTTTCAGTCCTCTCTTTCTTGATGATCTCTTGAACATCCTAGCTAAGGTTACCATCTTCTAGGGTGGGTAAGGCCAGACCTTGATACCAAAATTCCTTGGGCCTAAATCCCACTGCAGTATTCCCTGTTCTGAAGGGAATCCTTGTTTGGATGGAGGTTTGCAACACGTGTGTTTGACCAGATCTTGGTATGTGCAGTCTTGTGTCATTACATGTCACTGCATGCCAAATTAGCCATCTGGATATGAAAGTAACTACTAACCTAAGCATCATTTATATACTGGTGTGCTGGAGTGCTTCTCATGGTATGGCTCTTCCTCTTCCTCCTCTTCTTGCAGCTCCTTAATAAAATATATAATTAGTTAAAACTGATGTAGTTTTTGTTGGAGATAGAAATTGAAATTAGTTCAGGATTTTAAAAATTCTGGGCTACTCTGTCATGCAGTACATTTAGAATTTCCTACACAGTATACACTTAGCCCCTATCCAAATAGCATCTCTTCCTTTCCTGACTACCACAGGCTCAATCACAACAGCTGTCAGAAAGCCTTTTTTCTATAAAGAGAGTACACTGGATAATTTTCATTTCATGAACTTAGAGAACTTTTCCAGCTAACTCCTAAAGATCTCTGGAAAAAATAGATTTCCTTGAAATCTAGTTATTTCAGTTGTGCAGATCAAATTTGGTTGAAACACTGCCTGAACTGGAAGCTCAGATGTCCCTACTTTTAGTTAACACATGAACATTTGTTCTCTCACCTGTGCCTTTTAACTATTTTTATTGCCTGTTACTGGAATTTTTTTCTCCATTTCTTTCTGAGGAAAATGCCAGAGGGAAGGCTATATCATCAACTCAAATAAAACCTTGTGGGATTCCAAGGAGCTCATATTTATTTAACTCACCTACCATATTTTCTTCAAATTTTATTTAGATAAATAACATCTGGTTCATGATACACTTGAAAATAATTTATTCCTCTTTCCTGTCAATTCATTTAATATATTTTTTTTGTCACCTGATAAATTAAATAGGAGATTGATGCATGGAATATCTGAATATGTTATATGGCATTAGGGAATTTAAACCAAGAAAGATAGTGGGATTTTCCTTGTATTAGTCACACTGAATATGTTTGTTCCAGAAAACACAGATGGAAAGTTTGTAGATGGTCTATTAATAGCTTGGGAAAATTTTTCAGTAACAAGTTCTTTGGTACTGACTATCCCTATTGCATTGCCAACACCAACAATTTATTAATTTACCTGACATATAATGTTAGCTCTGGAAAATAGGACAATAATGCTACATTTTATGTCCTTGAATTGTTCAACATTTTTGTTCAGGACATTCTCTTCTCTTCTAATTTTATATAGTTTTCAGATTATGTTCACAAGCTGAAAGTTTCCTTCTTGCAGTGTGCTGATTTCATTTAGTAGTCTCCATGTAATTTTTAAACAGAACAAGTTAAATATGGCCTAGTAATGAAAGTGCAAGAAAGGAAAATGAGAATAATGTATTTTGTTTCTCCTTTTCCTGCAGATGTATTCTTGACTTTAAATTATACTAAATGTGTTTTCTGATTTGCCTTCTCTGTTGTGTGTTTGCAGGTCAATGTAGATATAGCTGATTTAATTTATTAAAAAAAGAAGCTATTCTGCACATACAGTATTTCTGCTTTGTATAACATAAAATTAATGAGGGGCATTTTTGGTGATCATATGCCACTTCTGTAATCCAAAGACTGATGTGGGTTTCACTAGAAATGATCTAGTGAGGTGGTAGAGTGTTTATGGCCTAAAGTACAGGTTGTTGCTATATTTATTGATGGAAAGTTTTGGTGACCAGTATTTTCTTATCATAAAGAAACATGAATTAATCTGTGGTTAAATTGTATTAATCTTTGGTTAATGGTAAAGCACAGGTGAAATACCAGAAAACTGATGAAATTCTGAAAACCATGGCTACAGAGAATTACTTCATATTTTAGATATTCTGAATTTTCTCTTCTATTGCAGAAACAAAGACACCCTTTTAGTTTTAGCAAATAAAGTTTAATTTTTTTTTGCAAAGCTGAGTTTTTTTATGTGTGTAAGAAATTATATCTGTTTTTGATTACATGTAACTTTTGAAAGAAGTCTGATATAACGTCATGGGAGTGAATTGTTCCTAACATTTATTAAAAAATATGAGGTGATTGTTTTTATTTATATGAAAGCAAAGATTAAATAGCAACAATAGCAGTGAATTTTGAAAATATTATCAGTTGGAATAATCAGTTGGATAAAATTTAATCTCTGACAAGTTAGATTTCCAGGCTTATATAACTGTTTGACTTTCTGTATCATTATGCTTTTATTTTATGCTGCTTCTTAAGCACAGTCTTATAGCAGATGGTATTTCACAGTATTTAAACAACTCCAAGTAAAACAATAATAATATATTGTTTTTACTGATGCGTGCACTAAATGTGAAGTGAGATGAAGTGGTGAAAAAGACAATTGTTAATACCAGATGTGGAAAATACGATTAATGGGAATTCCTTCCTGGAAACTATGATTTCAAAGAAGGATTTATTTTCTAATGTATATTTGAAACTGTCTTTAAACAGAAACTAAGGAAGTCAGCCCTTTGATGATTTAATACAATTTAGCTCTTATTTTATGTAGGGAACATACAGCTAAACATGCCCTTATGAACATGATTCCGTTTGAGAAGTCCAAGAGAATGTTTTGGCTTTGTACATGTGCTCAAGTGTCATGATCTGAAGTGGCAGAAGCTATTGGGTTCTTGAATAAGCAGTTTTACTGAAGATTTTACAGAAGATGCAAAGGTGTGGCCCTGAAAGTGGCTCCTGATAAATCTCCACAAAATTTGCATGAGGAGTCAAGTCATGGCAACCTTTGAGGGACACATGATCAGAAAGGAGAAAGAGAATTATGAAATGCCACAAATACTTTTGCTGGCTTTGGAAACCCTAAACAGAAACCAAGAAACTTTTGTGTCACTTTCAGTTATAACTAAGGACACATTACAGACTGGGTCTTGAGTTGCAGAATTTTTTCTCTCAGAAGTATTCCGTGACAGCACTGTTCTTTTCTCCTGTACATTTTTTTATCATTGCACTCAATTTCATTAGGCCATAGAAAATCTAAATAATCCACTGTACTGTATCAAAACTATAACCTGTATAGTAATAAGATAAAAGACATTGTATTTACTGTTTATTATTACTGTTCACTGAAGAAATAGAATAACAATGCTCCTAATAGAATACTGAGCTCATTATTCCTCTGTTTTAGTACAGAAATGTCTTTGTCTTTTTCATAAATAAATAGGGTTTGATGGGACCAGAAGGTTCACTTGGTCTACCTGGAGCTCCTGGGCCTAAGGTAGGTGTTTGAGTAAATTTGTTTGTGACTTTGATAAGCTACTGATTTGTATGCAAATTTGATCTGGACAATGCCAGGATTTTTGCAGCTCATTTTGTGGTGTATTAAATATTGGTGAGCAGCTCTATGATTTTGCCTGTGTTACCTTCTACAATAGTTTAGTCTCCAGAGAGGTTAATATATCTCAGTAAATGGCGCCTGTCATCCTGTGAGGTTTTTAATAACTGCAGAAATGGTCATGAGGCTTTGTTTCAGCTTCTCAGTCCTGGAAAATGTTCTGCAATGCTGGGAACCAGATAATTCTCAGTATACATCTGAACTTTCCCATGTTACATTTATTTATGTTTTAATTGTGTTCAATAATATTGTGTGCTGTTTCTTCCACCCAAAGAGCCAAACTTATTTCAGATGTAACTTTATTGATTGCACTGCAGCTACAGCAAGAATTAATTTTACCAGTGTTCTCAAAAGCTAAAATAAATACTACAAATTCAGACTGGTTAGTGTAACCTTTTAATTTAATCCAAAATGAGTTTTGGATTAAATTAGAGTAAGCATTGAATTATATGTCCTAGAGAATATTTAGGAATATAGGATCTTTTTCCCAAACTTTGCATTTATGTTTAGATCCCTTTCCCTCCATACATTATTTTACATCCAAAAGTGCATATGCATTTATTTATAATTGTATACTGACAGCAGCATTTTTTTTAATTGTCAGTGTTTTCTATTGTCAAGAAGATTGAATACCTATGATACAAATAAAAATTAATTAGCTTTATTTTTGTCTGTGAAAAATGTTTTTATTTTGTATATTTATCTCACTTAGAATACAAGCTGTTTCTTAGAGAATCTTCTTAATAAGCTCATTCTTACAGAAGTCCATCATGAACTAGTAAATAATTCTTAGATTTAATGCAAATCCTCATGCTAAATACATGTCTAATTCCATAGGCTGCAATAAAAGCCAAAACATAAAAAAATATTTTGACTTAGACAAATAAATAAGATGATGGAAATGTGAAGTCAATACACACAAAACTGGTGGGACTGTGTGAAGCAAATGAGGCAGGTGGAGGTGGGGCAGGTGCCCAGAAGCTGGCAGATCACATTTTGTCATTGGTATCTCTTCTCTCCTGAAAGTTAAACCTTCAGGCTACCTGTACTGGAGAAGAACTTTATCCTTTCACTCACTACCTGTGCCCATTTTTAAGAATCAGTTTCTCAACAGTGTCTCTTTATGTTTGTTAGTCATGCCACATGTGACAAAACATAATGATGTATCAGCCACACTCCTGCATTGTTATATAGGGTGATAAAGGCGAACCAGGATTACAGGGGAAAACAGGATCATCAGGAGCCAAGGTAAATGTGATTCTGGAAGTGTTCTAGTTGAAGAAGGGATTAATTTACTTTCTTTTGTGATTTACTAATTTTCCATTATTTCTCCTGGTTAATTATGAGGCAGTTTGTTCCACAGTAAAACAGTAGTTAACAACACATTGAATCAGTATCCATTTGATGACTTATTCTTACTAATTTTATACTAGTTTTTAGGCTGTGAAAATCAGATGTTAATTAAGTTCAAACCTGCAAACATTGTCATTACTTGTGTATTTTTTGTGTAATTTTAAACCATCAATGTATTAAAGGACAATACATTAAAGACAAACAGATACTGGAAGTGGCTTCTCTATATTCACCAACTCTTCAAAAGTACTTCAGACATTTCAATCATCTTCAGTTATAAAATTTCAAAATAGCATAACCAAAGCGTATCATGTGCCTTGAGAAACATGCAGTGTGTGTTTTTACACACAGCACATCACTGACACACAGCTATTGTATTACTCAGGGAGATCTAGGAGTACCAGGGGCTCCAGGTGAACCAGGCTACCCAGGCATTCCTGGTGCCCAGGGATTAAAGGTAAGTATTTTTTCCATTTTTACATTAATTGAACTTTTTTTGACGTGCTTTTTTTATAAGTAATCATTATTTAACAAAATCCTTTCTCTAAATACATTGTTATTATTAGATTATAGTTGGACACATTTAAAGCAATAATATGTCCATCCTGAAAATTTTCTTCTGAAGGATAAAACCCTTGATATGAAGGGAATTGTGGTGAGTTAACCTTGGATGAATGCCAGGTGCCTATCAAGCTGCTCTATCACTCCCTTCTTAAGGACAGGGCAAAATCAAGAAAATAAGATGGGAGAAAGCTCATGGGTCAAGATAAAGGCAGTTTAATAAAACAAAAGGAAAGGCCTTGTGTAGAAGCAAAGTAACATCAAATATTTATTCTCTGCTTCCTGTCAGCATGTGTTGTCCCGCAAATTCCCGGGAAGCAGGACTTCAGTACACATAGAGGTTTGGAAGACAAATGTCACAATAATGAAACTTCCTCTCCTTCCCCTTCCCTTTAGTTTTTATTGCTGAGCAAACATCTTATGGTACAGAATATCCCTTTCAGTTTAGGTCATCTGGCCTGGCTATGTCATAGAACCATAGAATGGTTGTATGGAAAGGGACATTAAAGATCATCTAGTTCCAAGCCTCTGTCCTGGGCAGGGATGCTTCCTTCTACTAAATGAGGTGGCTCAAAGCTCCATCCAACCTTGGCCTTGAGCACTTACAGGGAGGAGGTATCCACACCTTCTCTGAGCAACCTCTCTTAGTGCGTCACCATCCTCAAAGTAAGGGATTTCTCCCTAATAAACCTAGTTTCAGTTTGCAGCCATTCCCTCTTGTCCTGTCATTACAGACCCTTGTGAAAAATACCTCTCTGGCTCTCTTCTAAGCCCATTTTAGGCACTGGAAGGTTGTGCTAAGGTTTCCTCAGAGCCCTCTCTGGGCTGAACAACCCTAGCTCTCTCAGTCTCTCTTCATGAGAGAGATGCTCCAGCTGTCTAATCATCTTCTTGGCCTTCTGCTGGACTTGATGCACGTCCTTCTTATGTTGGGAGCCCTGGAGCTGGACACAGGTGGAGTCTCAGGAGAATGGAGTGGAGGGGGAGAATCACATCCCTTTTCCTGCTGGCCACACTGCTTTTGATGCAGCCCAGGATGCAGTTGGCTTTTTGGGCTGGAAGTTAGTGAACATTGCTAGGTCACCTGTCAACATGCACAAGTGCTTCTCTGCAGGGCTGCTCTCAATCCCTTCTTTACCTAGCCTGAATTTGTGCCTCCACCTGAGATCTTGCCTGGCCCTAGCTGACAGGGAAATGGGGGGATTGGAGAGACAGCCTTGATGTTGCAGGGAGCTCTGCCCAGCAACACCCAAAGCACTGCTGTATTATCAACACCTTTCTAGCCACCACTGCAAAGCACAGCACTATGAGGGCTGCTATGGAAAAAATGAACTCCTTCTCAGCCAGAGCCAATACAGAATTAGAGAAATAGAATTAAATCAGCCATTTCACTTTTATAAGAGGGGAAAGGTTGAAGGGTAAAGAGACAGTAAGATAGAAGGGTGGTGTTATGAAGAGTTTTATGAAAACCTCATGCAGAACTATTCTAATAGAGTTCATCTTCTCCAGAAGGCACACGTTTCTTTTATGTCCAGTGTCATATCTGCCAGCCTCATATACATACCTTACATATACTAGAGTACTTCACATGTCAGTAGACACATATGTGGACATGCATTCACTACAGCATGGAGTCAATGTCATAGTAATAGTTTAACTTGCTTCATTATCACTATATGTTCAATTCAGTACCTAGGGGCTATGTAAGGCACATGTACTAAGTCTGTAATATTTTATGAAAGATGATTTTGTTAAAATTTATTAAACTTCTCTAAATTTTAAACTGAAGAAGCCTTTGAAAATATCATTTATTTTATATGAAGATGCAAGTTAGCTGGAGTTACAAGTCCAATGCCAAACTGGAATTTTTCAGGAAGAAAAGAGCAGTTTGGGCATCTGACAATAAAAGTGAAGCCTTTCAGCTATAGATGATTTTAAAACTTGAAACAACTGAATATTATATATTTAAGTACAATACAACAAAATACTACAGCTGGCATAAATGTCTGATGTTCTGGGATTTTCAATCAGGAAAATATTTGCCATGGCAAAAATCTCCTCTGCACTACTGTTTATTATTTGACTAAACATTCTTTGATTTTCCAACCCCCCACTCCCCCTCCTCCCAAAAAAAAATCTAACCCCAACCAATCGCACAAAGTTTTGGTTCTTACAAGAAAGCTGACAAAACAGACCTAAAAATCTCCATTCTAATTATTTTCTTTATTAAATGTAGTTTTGCACATGCCCTACATCCTATCTTTTGTTTCATGAGCTGCTATGTTCGTGTTTCAGCATTTTGATATATGTCTATTTAAACATAACATGTCAGAGTTAGAGCCATCTCCCATAACTTTAAGTTTCTTTTTCAATTAATGAAGAGAGATAGGCACATTTTTGGAGTACATGTTTTATACCTCTGCTGTTAATTGGAATGAATAGTTTCCATGTACTGCCTGTTTCTCTCCAATGTCAATTTGATGATGTTCAGACAAGCTGATAAAACTACATACCTGACTTCTAAGCACCATTTACAAAATCTGATTGCCAATCCCTCCCACTATTATTTACTTTAAACATTTTGAGGCAAAACAAGTGGGTAGACATGAAGCTTAGTCCTTAAATATTTTGATTTAATTTAAATATAGAAGGGTTTGTGATGAAAAAATACTTTTTTGTTTGTTTGTTTTGCATAACTTCTGCAGGCAGTGGTGCATTAAGCTAAAATTTAAGCCATGAGAAACACTGCCTCCCTTCCTGCCTACATCCTCTCCACTTCCATGCACTGGGTAGATAAAATCCTGGTGGATTTCCCACCTCATTATGTTGCATTTTTAAATTTTTTACTTGGTATGTGAGTATCTGCTTTTTTTTGATAGTTGTGATAAAGACAAAGTCCTTTATTAGTAAAGTTTTCTGGACATTTTTTGTGCACTTGGGGATAAAGTGATTAGTTTTCTTTCGGTATAAGGAAAAGCTAGATGCTTCTCTGATATTTACCGTGTTAAATTAAAGCACAGACTACCTGTTTTAGAGGTTACTCATGTTTAAATGGAGACCTTTCTTTAATATTTTACAGGGGGAGAAAGGAAACCAAGGTGACACTGGTATCCAGGTACAACAACTTTGTTTCTAATGCAATCATCTGGCATTGCTATTTATACAAGTCTTAGGTATTAATCCAGATTTAAAACAGGGTTTTTTAAAGATTAAACTCCACAGAAGATTAATTTGAATAGCAGCAGTAACTCTTCAAGGAAATCTTCCCAGTATGGCCAGTATGAGTTTTCAGCTGCATTTCTGGGGGCCTGAGCAGGCTGTTGGCATTTGGTGCAGCTGTCTGCTCCTGGCAGTGGTGCAGGAACAGGGCTGGGACATCACCCAGGGCTTGTTCCTGCCTGCAGGGCACTGCAGGATCACAGAAACATAGTCAAAGTAACTCCACCTGGAGTCTGCTTACCTACTTTACTATCAGCATGTGGGATTTTCCTCCTTGTTACCTAAAATCATGGAAATACCTACAAGAAAAAGAAGAGTATCCTGTCATTACTTGGATCCTGGCTTGGTTCCTCTGTGTTCTGGGTAGAAATTTTATTCTGCATAGATTCTGCTCTCATCTCTTTGAAGCGTAACTTTTCAGCTAGATTTGTCCTGGTTTAGAATGAGGTTTTAGTATTTAGCTCCTTATGTTATTTTTTTGATCATTTAATTACATGTACCAAATAAATCTATATTTTATAAAATGTGTTTCTTTTTTTGAAGGGACTGAAAGGAGAAAAAGGAAGACAAGGAAATCCAGGCTTACAGGTACTGTTATAATAGTGATCCTTCTTCAAGAGAGCCATAGTGAACCTAGTTTGAGGCCATGATTTATATTTGTTTCTTAATACTTCTTCCATCAACACATATAGGCCTTTGCATCAGGTGAAATATATTTATGTACATGGTAATGTAGTTATATGTTAATTATAACATATAACGTTTAATTATATCTTAAACATTCTTAATATTTTAAAAATAACAAATATAACACATACAGAGAAGATGGAGCAGCGCTTCTCTCAGCTGTGCACACGTGAAGGATGAGAGGAAATGCACATGAGTTGGAGCACAGGAACTTGAAATACAGGAAAAACATTTTGCTTGGAGGGTGGTCAAATACTGGAGCAGGCTGCTCATAGATGTTGTGGCAAAACCTGTCAGGGCAGCATGTTGAGTTGATCCAGCTGGATCTGTTCTGCAAAGGAAGTTGAATCCAAGATCACTTCTAACCTACATGTTTCAGAGTCCTGTGATATTCTATCTTGAGAAACAGACCAAAGTGCATTTCTTTTTATTATCATAGTAAAGCATTAATTATAGAATATTTGTACAAACCAGCTATAAGTAATATAAAATGCAGATAACAGCAAAAGGTAGCTTTTGTGTAAAGGTTGTAAGAGCGACACTTGGGATGTTAAATTTTTGCATGTATCATGCTGCACTTTCATACAGTTCATTACCTCCTAGACTATACTGGGAGTCATTATTGACATTGTCTGTGCTCATAAATTACAGATGTTTCCTGTTTCAGCTGTAAATCAGTGAGATCCAGTTGTTTCTCTTTAGGCCACTATTCTGATTGTGTCATAGTTGGCAATCTTGTTATTCTGCAGAAAATAGCTGTTAGTATTTATAAATACTTGTTAACTGCATAATCTATGTTGTGAGCAAACAGAGAAGTATTTTTTAGAGGTACATATCTAAAACTAGACTTGGAAGGAGGCCACAGTTGCTTTTTTCAGAATTACGACATTGATACAGCTGCCCGTCTAGCTGGGTGGACTCTATTCCCAGGGATTCTGGGCAGGAGGACTATACTGCATGTTAGTTAACACTCTCAGAGATATGTAGGTTGAAAATACATCATTATTTAACCTGAGGAGACATTTAAAAAAAGAAGTAGCTTAAAAGACAGGTCATTCACTTGACCAGATGTAATGTCCTAGACTAACATTTTGGTTATTTTAAAAAATAACTTTTTGGTTATTTTTTTTCCAAATAATGGACAATTTTTTCATATCTTTTATTATTTAAGTCATAAGGGAAAACAAAGTGATAGTGAAAGAAAACTTTTTTTTTTTTCAGACAGAATGATGCAATTGAATTGCTGTTGCTTGCTTTCTGTGTTTTGAAGGAAGCTGAAAAAATATTACAGACTGAATCTAAAATTGTTTCCCATGCTTATCTGGTTTGATTAGCAACCAAAAAAAATCAGTCATTTAGTAGAGAACACAAGGTCCTTCCAAGAATTCTCAGGACTCCAAGACACAATACAGATTTCCTTGTCTGTAAGAGTTAATCAGAAAAGTGACTCTGATTCAGAGCTGCCATGTTGCCCTGGGATGTAATGGTCAGTAACACCATTGAACCACTTGGCAGAAATGACAGCAAAATGATTTCCTGGCATGCAAAACCTGCCTTACCACTGAGTCTGTATTTCAAGGGCTCTGAAATTAATTTCTGCCTAGTAAGATGGTATTAAACAGTTTGAATCAGGAGTTTACTTCTGTTAGGACATGTTATTTCTTTTGTAAAGTGAATAAGGTATTGTCTCTTAAGTGTATATTATGTTTATATGTTTATAATATGTGTGATATATTCCCAACCTATCCTCTTGGTACATGATATCAAAGGTAATACTGAAGTGTTCATTCACGCTGATATAAATTTTTCACCATTATATGCAGTTTTGTTTTTTGTACTCTAGCAATCAGAGAATCTTAAAAAATTAACATTTGTGATTGATTACTGAAAATGAAGGACAAAAAAAAATAATTTTTGATTCCAAATAATTTGGCTCAGCCTGCATTTTAAATTTCTTTTTCATCTGATTTTTTAAAGGGAGTAGAAGGACTGAGTGGAGAACGAGGAGAGGTATGTATTTTTGCAATGATAAATACAGTATTACAAAATTATTCCATTTGTTTCTGAAAATTATGTGATCTGTAAAATTTGTGTTTAGTCTTACTTCTGCAATTACATATCCATAAGCAACACAGTAGAAATTGAAAAATACCAGAGAAAGGAGTATTAGTTATGGAGACAGAATGAGATATACATTTCATTAAAAATTATTAAAGCTGAGCATATAGTTTAAGAGAACTAAAAAGCCAAGAAACCAACCAACAGAAAAAGAGAGAAAGGTTTGGTTGAATAGAGGACATAACTAAAGAAAATAACTAAAGAAAAGGAATCATTGTGTTGCATGTTGTTTAAAAATTGGTATTTAAAATATTAATTTTGTTGGTTATTATTTATTTATTTCAGTATTTTGTAAAATCAGAGTATACACTGTCCCATTAATCTAATTCTCCTTCAAATTTATTTAGACATTTTTTGTTCAACCTTTTTCTTTAAAGCATTGTTTCATATCAATAGCTGGATACATTAATTGGAAGTTCCATTCTGATAATGAAATTACTTTATCCATTTTAACATATAAATTGTTTCATATGCTTCTGTGGTTCTAGGAAATACTTCAGTTGCGGTTTGGCTTATAGGTGTTTTGATAAATTACTGCCAAAACTGGTAAAAGATTCCTTGTATGCTATTGAATTAATCTCTTTAAGTATTGTAAATCACGGCAATAAAGTATTTCTACTGGAAATTCATTTAAATATTTTTTTACTGTGTATTAAGCTATAATGATGTCATTGTGTTTACTTATCAAACCTATACAATTAGTTTATTTCTGTTTCTATAAAATATGTTTTTTGTTAGACTCTGATTTCTAAAAAGTTTCTTCAGCCTTTAAGCCTCAGCACTTACTGAGCTGTTTTCCTTTCTTTGCTTTTCTTTGCAATAGCAAGGGTCAGCAAACAAGGCCTCACATGGATGTGGCTGAGTATTAAAAGACCAAGATATACTGCGGAAAACTTCCCCCCTACAATTTCAGTTGTTTCTTGGCAAGTTCTTCAGGCAGTTCTGCTGATGCTTCCAACATTTTCTCCTGGTGTTTTTGTACTGGCTTCTTGCCTCTAATATTGTTCTACAGTATATGCTATTTCCCCAGTATTCTCAGGTTTTTAATGTCTTCAAGCCCCCTTAACATTTAGTTCAGATAGCTCGGCTTGCAAGCCTTCAATGTGAATATAGTCCACAGGGGTAAAAGGAATTAAAATTAAATTAAAACAAAACAAAACCCCTCCTTAGCTATAAACCCAACATGATTTCAGATCTCAGCACATACAGTTTCTAGTATAGCCACAGGTACCTACATAAGCACCCAGTGTTTATCTCTGAGCCTTGCTGACTATTTAAATGAAAACACCTTTGCAGTTATGTACTAGAAATGAGCAAGTAAAAATCTACACAAGGTAACTAAGAGGATCCCTTCTCTGTGACAATATCAAGAAAATAAATTACAAGTACAGCTTTGGAAGAAGTTGTATCTGAATTAATGTATAACTTTTGAAGGTATGTACTGCTGTTCAGGTCATGCCCCTGAGCCCTTCCAGCAGTACTCTTAGGCACTTGACTGACTTCTGTCACATTTTGTCCCATTCCTTTGTTTCTTTAAGAGCATGAACTACCTGTCTGATTTTACAGCCTAGCTCATAAATCTGATTAATCTCACACTGAATTTAAAGCTTGTTATCCTGTAGTAACTCATGTAGAGAATTCTGGGCATTGTAACTAATACGGACCAAGCCAGGAAGCTTTGAATTTTTGTGATGTGAAGAGTCTTGATAAATAATATAGTAGATGTTGCAAAGTAATATAAATACTATAATTTAAAATTCAGTGTAAGTCTATTGAGACCATATGCATGAATATTTCTTAAACTTCTGTTATTTGCTTCAGTAGGTTTGTCATACATAATAGTCCTGTTCTCACAATTCCATCTAAAATAGTTGGAAGTGGAGAAAGAAACTTTTTCAGCAACTGATAATGTTATGCAGAAGCTGTGCAAACAGGGGAGGAAAAAACTCATAAGGGAGCAAACATAGTATACTGACTTTAATCTTGGGCACATACTGATTTTCTTGGCTCCAGAACAGGGAAAGACTTCTACATGAGCTATTGCAGTAGATAATTCCATACATAGAGCCATTGCTTTGGTGAAGATATATCAAAATATTTTTCAGCATTTTTTTTTTACTTTTTCCAGTGAAACAAACAGACTACAGTTACTATAAATCAGATGCAAAAAAAAGAAGCAAAAAAATCCCTGAATAACTGAATAACTGAAATCAAATTATTTTTTCCTTTGTCTTATACACTGCAGATATATGGTAAAAGGCTTGATTATTACTGTAAGTTTCCAAGAACTTCAGTGGTGCCAGAATTTCACATCCAATTCTTCTGGCCTTCTATGGACTTTAACATACTATAAAAAAAATTCTGATTCTGAGGAAAAATTAAACCCTTCCTTCCATGTGTTTATAATTAATAGTAAAATGGGTCTTGAAAGTTAAGAAAAGATAATTTATTTCTAGTTTTCTGTGGTAATTTTATCTGAAACAGTTACTAAGGAATCTGAAAACTTCAATACATTCTAGCAAAACAGACCTCATCAATATAAATTTAATTTTCACTGATGTCACATTAATGTTATGATATATCATATTAATTTTATGATATTTTTATCAATAAAGATTTCTCAGAATATGTTTGTTTGATGCTACCTACCTTCCAAATGATCTGTGAACATATAATTGGCTTTTCATTGATTTTTCATTCCAGAAAGGTGAGAAAGGAGATCCAGGCATTCAAGGTATCAGTGGACAAAAAGGAGAATCTGGTGTCCATGGTTTGATTGGACCTCCTGGTCTCAGAGGTCAGCCAGGAGATAGAGGACCCCCAGGAACACCTGGATCAGATGGAAAACCTGTATGTATAGGACTTCAAACTTTTTATTTTGAGTACATTAAAAGCCAGAAAGAATTGCATGCTCTGTTCTCTGTTCAATTCAGGCACGAGAATTTTCAGAAGAGTTTATTCGACAGGTGTGTTCAGATGTACTGAGAAGTAAGTTTGAAAGCTTCTTTCCTGTTGTTTCCTTGTTTGAATAGTTAAAGAAGTTTCTTGATAATTACAGAAACTTTTTAGAAAGCAAGTTCCATATTGCTCATTTATTCCTTGTTTTTCTACACATGTGGAACTGTATTTCCACATCACAGCCTCCATACTTTACCATCTTGTTTCCTAAAGGTATTATATTCTCTTAAGAGAGGGAACTGATTTTGTACGAGTGTTTGGTGGCAGTACTTCTATTGTTACAACACTTTAAGTAATTTTTTTGTTTGCATTCTCCTAGCCCAGTTGCCTGCCATTCTCCAAAGTGGAAGACTACAAAACTGTAACCACTGTCAGTCCCAAAGTGCTCCCCCAGGACCACCAGGTCCAAGAGGCCCTGAAGGCCCAAGAGGGTTTCCTGGTTTACCAGGGAATGATGGCATTCCGGGGCTGATGGGCATGCCAGGTCGCCCTGGGGCTCGTGGGACAAGAGGTACATTGTGCATGGGTCACAGTGCTAAAGGCCTTTATGCCTTGGATTTCTGCTTCTAGTTTTGAACGGGATTAATGCAGGGTGGAGTAAGAGAATAGCTGGGCTTGTTTGGCTGAATGGAATTGTGAACGTGGAGCAGTGTGGATGTTTCAGCACCTTCAGGGAGCACATGACAGGAGAAAGAATGCAAGAACACAACCAGATAGTTATTGTTCAGTTCTACTATAGTCAGACTCTGTTCTGATCTTTTTAGAGAGTTCTTAGTCTCATGTAAATGTTTCTACCTGCATTTAGATTATTTTTTTTTTTGATCAAATATGCCTATACATAGCTTTCAAAGTATTTAAATGTTTTCTGGTTTGTTTTCTTCCAAACTTGTTTGTTTCTGCTATTTTAAGGCACAGTACTTATTCACAGTATTTATTTCTTACTATCTATGCTGAATTTTGACATCCAACAACTTTCATACTCCCTTTGATTTCCTGACCTTTTGTCCTTTTGTTCTCTTTATCTCAAAAGGATTTTTGCTCCTTTCTTTATGATTTTTGTAAATATTCTGGATTCTTTTTAGGCAGGCTGAGGTTTATGCTTTCAGGTAACTCAGCTGTCCAAGCATTCCAGTTGATTTCTGTGATGTATTTGCAGACTTTATGTTAAGTACACATATATAGTTTGGAACTAGAGCAAGAGACTGGGTGGAGGCCATAATTGGGTAACTGGTAGCATCAAAATAATCAGGAAAGCTGTATGAAATAACAGCTAGCTAGTAATGTGCCAATGGTAAGCAGACAAATGGTTGATAAATACTTATTTTCTTTATAACTTACTACCTGTGACCTAACAAACCAAATTCACTTTGTATGTAATGATGATTTACCTGTAGTACTTCCATAATTCAATCTCAAAACAGGAGAATATGCGGCTTTCCTCTGGAACTAACACTAGCGGCTCTGGTTATTCCACAAAAGTTGGAAAAATAGATAATGTATCTATGAAGAAACTGAATTTACTGGGTTGTGCTAGTGTAAAAGAGCTCATATTTTGACCCTCACAGTATTTCTTTGGTGGAGTTTAATTCTGCTGTGTGTGTTGTGGAACATTTTCTATTCTTTATTCCACAGGGATTATGATGAAAAACTTACACCTCCTTTATACAACATATTAAAAATTTTGCTGATAGGAAGGCAATGACAACAAATTCCTCAATTACCTATTATCTATTCCCTCAGTTGATAGTGGCTGTCTGCTTAACTGTTCCTACATCAGCTCTAAACTCAGTAGAAATTAGCATAATTTAGAAACCAGTCACACTGTGCAGGTTACAAGAAAGGGCTTGTTTTGCATCCCATTATTTATTCTTGAAATATTACATATTTAATTCGATAAATACTGTCAAATGCTGATTTCTGACTTCACTGGGTGAAAATGATGTGCTGAGATATGCATGTGTTTGCTAATCCACAGGACTGCCAGGGAAGACTGGTGCAAAAGGCAATCAAGGAGTTGGTGTTCCTGGGATCCAAGGCCCCCCAGGACCTCCAGGTGAGGGATGGTTCAGGTGTGCAGATTTAGGCATGCTAATAATGTTTTTAAAGTGTGGTTTAGAAAAAATGTAATTTGGAAAAAAAAAAATACATAGCTTGTACACATCGTACTTACCAAATATACTTTAGGGTAATGCCTGTCTCTTTCATACCTTATAAATTTCCATCTAATACATTACTTAATACAAGACAGGTCCTGTAGAGATTGGTATCTGAGACTGCTCTTTCTTGATAGCTGGATCCTGAAGTCAATTATATCTGAAAACTGAGCTCTGATATGATCATGTGACTTACAAGCATTGCTTGATGAGGGAAAATGTTCTTCATAACATTAGTGTATGAATATAAAATGTAAAGTTGAGCTTTAGGAAGATATACTAGGGCCCCATCCAAAGCCAGAGAAACAAATAGAAATAGGGGGACTGCTTCTTGCCATAGTGGTTCCAGATTATATGAAAAAGTAGAATAGTGTACTAAAGCAGATTTTCATATTTTTCTTTAAAAACAGCCTTTATTTGAAGTCTTTTCCACATGCTTTAAAAAAATCTGTATGTCGTGTTTATATAAATATATAAACATTTTGTGACAAGAAGCGTCTTTTGCAGAAAATTAAGTTTTATCTGCATACTTTACCAAGGAGTAGGGGTGTTGTGAGTCCATACTTGCTCATTTTAATAGTATTGCATTTATTTATTTATTGCATGTGTGTTATTAAGGTCCTGAAGGTCCACCGGGCATGAGTAAGGAAGGACGTCCCGGAGAGCGTGGGCAGCCTGGTAAAGATGGAGATCGTGGCACTCCAGGAATGCCAGGACCAGTTGGACCCCCTGGAATTTGCGACCCATCATTGTGTTTTAGTGTAATTGTGGGGAGAGATCCATTTAGAAAAGGACCAAATTATTAATTTTTGATAGGATAATTTAGAGGAATAGTTCTGGTGCTTATCTTTCATGGTCTTTCAAATCTCAGGAAGGTGGCCAGCAATAATCCCATAAGAAGGAACAAAAGTACCTCTGACATTAAAAGCATTATAAATAATGATCTCAAAGGTTATACATTCCTTTAGACTAGAAACTCCAAAACTCCAGTCACTTTTTTTATACCTTGCACTGGTTGAATCTCAAGAGTTTTTAAAGAGATTCTCAGTTTTTAATAGAAATAAAGCTAACTATAATATTTGGTATTTAGTATTTAAGTGTCCTATAATTCTCCTTTTACCTCTTTTTAATAGAAAGTCATTTGCAAAATTGCTGGAAACACCACTGGGAGCAGATTTAGATCTTAAATGGCATTGGTCAGGTATAAATAACTGTGAAATTTTTCACATGCAGCCAACATATGCAGTATTTGATTTTGAAGGGATATGGCTGGCTTTGACTTCATATGTGTGCAAATTTCATTGCCTTATGTACATTTCATATGTCATTGCTCCAGATGTGAGTGAAAGCATGTTATCAGATTTTTGTGAATTAAGACAGATACTTGGACTCATCCCAGCAGAAATGTCACCTATTTTCCCATGCAGCTCTGCTTAAAACGCAGGTGAAATGCAAGGGTAGAACTACAGGTTCAAGGACCAAGATTTTATAGAAGATGGTACTACCAATTACTAAATGTTGAAAGTTTCCATGCAGGTGATTCAAATCCTATGAAAATAGCATTGAAAATGAAAAATGGCAAAGAACCGACATAGCTGGCTTTAGCTATGATTTGACAAAATTAAAGTTTTTAAAATATTTGCACAGCCCCAATGTAACAGTTCTGTGTAATGAAGCATCTAGTTATATACCCTTTGCTGTTTCTGCTCAAGGACTGTGTTGCCAAATTGAAGAAGCAGGTTTACAAGGAGAAAGGTCTAGCTGGTGGCTGACCAGCTGCAATATTTGTTATTCTGTTTCCTTTTCATTTTAAGCCAGCTGTGTGTAATTTTCATTGTACGCTTTGCTAATGAAGTGTATTGCTTGCTTTTACATAAAGAGCAAAAGCACAGTTCCCATGAGAATTTAAAATCCAGTTCTTAAATTAAGGCAGAATCCTGTATTAAGTTAACCAATGCTTTGTAAGTCACTTTTTCTAATGTGTTGTTTTTCTGTTGTCCTACTATCAGAGACTGTTAATATGCTTGACATTCAAGGTAAAATAAAAGACACACTTTCCAATAAATGTATGGTTGAGTGAATTATCAGTCTGAGAGGAGGCAAAACCAAAATCAAATAAGAGCAAGTCAGAAAGACCTCTGACTGCAGTGAATACAAACAGAGGACCAGAATTTCCCGCTTGTAGAAAAGTAGTTTTGATTGTTGACTGACTTTCAGCCAGTCTGATTGGTAGCATTATGATTTCATTTGTTCAAATTAACACATATATCAAGCTTAAGTTTTAAAAGTAGTGGTGGTTTTGTCACCCCTTTAGTCCTACTGGAGGGTTGTTTCTGAATGACTGACTGGCAATCTATGAGTAATTTCCAGTTTGCTTCCATTAATTGGCCTATTGTAGTTTTTTATATGTCTGGCCAATTTCTATTTGAGCTCAGCTTTTGGTTTTCTGTCTGCCTTTCTGTGCACTGTAGCAGTGTCCTTGTAGTTCTTGAAAGGTGTTTGTCTGCTTTTCCCGCTCTGGAATGCTTCTCTTTTGAACAGACTCAGAAGCTCACAGTTAAGCCAAGGTGGTCTCTTGCTCTGCCTACTTCTCTCTCTTTAAAGAAGACAAACTGTTTTTGTACTTCCAGGAAGAGAATTTTAGAAAAATAGGCATGTTCTAGCTCCTTTATCCTTCACAGAAGCTTCCCATGAAATCATTCCCAATTTAGCTCTGAGAAAGCTGAAATATTCTCTTCTAAAATTTAAAATGTTTGTTTTAATACTAACCTTCAGTGTGCACCAGTTCTTCCTGTTTGTTCCCCAGGCTGATTGCATTGATGTGCATACACTTGAGGTGGTTGGTTTTCTGGTTGTCATCTTGTCAGGCAGCTAAGGAACACTTTTTTGGGGTTTTTTTTGGGTTTGGGGTTTTTTTTGGTTGGTTGGTTGGTTGGTTGGTTGGTTGGTTGGTTGGTTGGTTGGTTTTTTTGTCCTTGCAAATAAAAGAGATATTTACTTATCCTCTGCTCCTTTTGGTATCTAAAGCAGCTCAATCTGGCCTAGCATTTCTGTACAGTGCCGCTCAAAGAGTACAATCTAAGCTAACTACAGCAATAAAACAAAATCTCATGTTGGACTCATTTCATATTGTGCAATAATATGGTAAGAAAGACTTAGACTAAATAATTAAGAAGCTTCACTGAATGTAATACCAAATTCAAAGCCTTGATCTGCAAAAGAAGGAGATTTGATGCTGAATTTATTTGATTGGCTACACTGCTGAGCTATTTGGATGCTTTGAGCTTTAGTGCTGCTGAATCTTTGATATTTTACTCTGAATTTGAGTCTGTAAAACTACCACCTTTCTGCAAAAAGGATTTGGTTTTGAAAAGCTGGAATTTTCCTGAGGAGATGCAGTCTCCTGAGGAGATCCAGTCTATGCAGTTGCCTTTTAGAAAGTTAGTAGTAACAATGTAGTTTAAATAAATGGAGACACTTTGAAAGTGTAGTTCCACATTATTAAATCCCCAGGAGCTCTCTAGGGAGTGTCTTGCATCCCAGTGAAATGCATGTGTTAGAGCCTAGGAACCTGTGATTTCAGTTATTCTCTTTAAAAGATTTTATCAAGCCAGAATTTATCAGACTTCACAATCATTTAATTTACTGATTTCATTTGATAAAGTGGGATTATACAGTAGTGTAGGTGTGCCCAAGATTGTATCTTGATTGTATCTTTTAAATCTTTTAATATTTCTGAATATATTTCCAGATCTCCATCTGATTCTGCAGTAAGAGGTTAAACAAATGGTATAAACTTGAGTGTTATCAGATTAATGACCCACAGGAGAGAGACTTTTATTTACTATTGATGCAAACTGTATGAGCTTCTTGAAGATGTTGATTTTCAATCAGAAGCTGTGAATGAAAAAGATCACAGTGCAACATGTCACCATTTAACTACCTGCTCTCTGGAAATAGTTATTAGAAACTCTGTTAACTGACATTTACTTACTTATTCTCCTGATGACAGTTTTTTAAACTGGATCTTGAGCTAATTTTTTAAGCAGAGGGCAAGATAAAAAAAGAATTTCTGGATGCTTTTTCAGTAGTATTTTGCTTTCTGTCCCAGAGAGGCTATAAGAAATATTCTCTATGGTTAGTCTAGTGCCTTTTGGTGTCAGTAGAGGAACTATGATTCACTACACTAAATTTTTAATATGGTTTCAACTCATAATATCTCTGTGTGCATAAATTTACCACTTTACTATGCTCATTTGTTGCTATTTTCTCTCAGATACTTAGGCATGTACTTGGATATAAAGATGAAGAATGGAAAAGTATTATTGTGGGAACTGGATTTCTTAATGAAAGCCTAGTGCTGTATGAATGGAGCTCAGCAATTTTCACCTCTGAGAATCATGATCTTAGAGAAGTTTGGAGTAAATATATATGGAGTGATGTGTCTATATATAAATACATAGGATTTAGTAAAAGACCAGATGTCACAGATGGTTTCCACATGTGCAGATTTATTTGGTAAATATATACATGTATATATAGTGTGTGTATATGTGTGTATGTATCTATCTATGTGTGTGTGTGTGTATGTATCATTTCAATTCTTCATTTGTTTAACTGAAAGATATCATAGTCCCACGAATAAAAATAAAAAAAATAAAAGCATAAAATCATAAAGTGACTTCAGTTGGAAGGGACTTTAAAGATCAGCTAGTTCCAACCTCCAGCCATGGGCAGTACCATCTCCTTCCACTAGACCATCCAGCCTGTCCTTGAACACTGTCAGGGATGGGGTATCCACAATTTCTCTAGGCAACTTGTTCAGTGCTTCACCAGCCTGACAATATTTCTTCCCAACAATTCCAGTTCTCTTAATCTTTCTTCATAAGAGTGGTGCTCTTATCCTCTGATCATCTTGATGTCCCTCCTCTGAACTCACTCCAAGTCTTTGTCCCTCCTGTGCTGGGGACCCCAGAGCTGATGCAGCACTGCAGGTGGGGTCTCACCAGAGCAGAGCAGAGGGGCAGGATCCCCTCCCTGACCCTGCTGGTCACGCTGCTTTTGGTGCAGCCCAGCACAGGGTTGGCTTTCTGGGCTGCAAGTTGACATCAGGGCTACTCTGGATCTGCTCATCCTCCAGCCTGGATTGATACCAGGGATTGCCCTGACCCAAGTGCAGCACCTTGCACTTGGTCTCAGTAAACCTCATGAGATTGCCATGGGCCCACTTCTCAAGCTTGTCCATGGCCCTGTGCATGGCATCCTGTGTTTCTAGACTGCAGTCTAGTCTGGAAATCTAGTCTTGTAAGAACTGAACTACTTCTGTCCTTCTACTGCTTCAGAGCCAAGGTATCATTGTCAGTTTCAGGAGCAGCTCATATGTCAAGGTTGATCGGCCTTTCAGAGGAGGAGCTGAGAATTGCTAGCTATGCATCTTTCAGAACTAGAGAACCTCATTTCTGTGAAAACTCAACGTGCATTAAAATGAAAATTCAGCACATCTGTCTGTCCTGGCAATGAACACTGTCAGGATCTGTCACTATGGCTCACATGAATTGAATCAAACTTCTGTGAAAAGATACCCTATGTTTTTCCTATAGGGGGAACACATAGATGATAAATCAAAATACCTGATAATCCATAGTCAGCAGAGACCATAAACCCTTCTAAGAGCTATTGCCTTCTGGGGTGCTATTAAAATGTTTAAAAGTTGAATTAATACTAAAAAAAAAAAAAAAAAAAAAAAAAAAAAAAAAAAAAAAAAAGAAGTGGGTTATTTTCTTCTGTTGATAAGCAGGATTTTCTCATAGAGGATATAATTTAAATATCTTGGAGAATTTAAGTCCATTTATACAATAGGGAAATCATTACTTTATGATTCCTGATTTTTTTTATTTTTTATTTTTTACAGACATCTTCCCTCTCCCAGTATTTGCATGAAAGTGCTTTTTTGTATCAACAACTATTCTGGTGACATTTCAGTATACTGTATTATTCTGTGTTATGGTTTTCTTTCTTGGCACAAAATACAATCACTAGATGTTTTTCCAGAAGTCATATCTGGCCACTCAGCTACCTCTCCTGAAGGTGTATTGGAAGGTTAAAGCTCCTTGGTTGTCCATCATAGGCTTAAAGAACTAAAGTTCTCTGTATTGATTTTCTGACATTTTTCCCCAATTTTATGCTTGTAAAAGTATGTAGTATTCGTCCACTTAAGGAAAAGGTAGGTGAGAATGCAACAGAAGATTTAGCCATTTCACTGTTGCATCATACATCCTTAATGCTTCCAAAATATCTTTCTCGTGTTGGAAGCTCATAACTCCAAAGAGTGTTTAATTTGTTGTTTTCTGATTTTCCTTTTTTTAAAACATGAATAAAACACCATGGTATCTCTGGGACACATCGAAAGGATGTATTGGATATAATGCAAAAAAAAACAATAATGCAGAGAAACTGTGTTTCAAATAAATAACACTACTGAACCATTGAAAAATATAATGCTACATGAGAGATGGAGGAAAAAAAGCTCTCTTGTGACTGGGACATGGTTCTTTAAGGTATGCAAGACTCTTACAGATGTGGGAATGAATAGCTACCTTTAATGTAGGCAAGATGGCTCCTGAGGAAAAGAAATGGCTAAAGCAGTACAGGAATCTGGGTAGCAAATTAAGGGGAAGGAAAAGGTAATCCACTTTCCTCCTTCACTTTAATACAATATGTATTGATGGAATTGTGCTTCTTGTCCTTCTTAAAAAAAACTTACGGGAAAGGACACTGTGGGTATTAAACCCCTCTTGATACAAAGTGACAGATCTCCCAAAAGTGAAAGCTCATGATGAATGTGTCAGCGATGAGCACCAGCAATCTCTGACAGCTGGGACCAAAGGTCTGGATGAGAATTCAAGGGATCATAGTAACTGTCTCACCCTGATACTATCTAACTCCTGCTCTGGAAAATGGCAAGCAAATGCTAGCACTTAACAGTATTTGTGTTATGAAAGTTTAAAGATTTTTTTTTATATACACATTAGTCCTTTTACAATGCTTGTTAGAAAATAAAAAAAA